CTTGGGGACAAAAGCAGCAGGCGTCGTTCCAGAAAATCAAGATGATGATGACTGACGATGTCACGTTAGCGCACTACGACCCTGATGTCGAGCTAGTACTTTCRTGTGATGCATCCGCATCTGGYATTGGGGCAGTCCTGCACCAACCTGATCTAAATGGTGAGTTGAGACCMGTTCATTTTGCTTCTCGCAGTCTCACAGGTGCTGAGAAGAACTACGCCCAAATCGAGCGTGAAGGTCTAGCGATCATATTCGGAGTGCAGAAATTTCGTCAATATCTGCTGGGCCGTACYTTTACATTGTTGACAGACCATCAGCCGTTGGTGAAACTTTTCGRCGAACATACTGCTGTGCCACAGCTTGCTGCTGCCAGAATTAAACGCTGGGCATTGATATTATCTGCATAYAGTTACAAGGTAAAGTACATTTCTTCAAAAGAGAATGTATGTGCTGACTATTTGTCTCGAGCTCCTTTACAGGAATCTGCGAGTGTAGCTGAATTACCAGAGGAAGAAAACGTGCTTGTGATTGATGAAGAATCGTTAAAGCAGCTACCTCTTACTGCGAAAACAGTGGCTCTGGAGACTCAGAAAGATTCCAGTTTGTCAAGAGTTCTGCAACTTACAAGAGAAGGTTGGCCAAGTAAGTGTCATGATGACAATCTACGACCTTATTTCTTGCGTAAGACAGAATTGACAGTTGAACAAGGGTGTGTCTTGTGGGGGAGTAGAGTCATTATTCCTGCTTCACTTAGACCAACACTCTTGGTTGATCTGCATACGGAGCATACGGGTACAGTTAGAATGAAAGGTCTCGCAAGGCAGTATTTTTGGTGGCCTAAAATGAATGATAACATTGAACAGATAACTAAGCATTGTGTAGAGTGTCAGGAGAATGCTTCCTTGCCTCCCAGTCCTCCAGTAGCTAAGTGGAACTGGCCTTCCGGACCGTGGAAACGACTTCATGTTGACTACGCCGGTCCTTATATGGGTAGTATGTTCCTTGTTGTAATAGACAGCCACTCTAAATGGTTAGAGGTGTTGCCGGTAAAGTCCACTAATTCTAAAGCTACCATACATCACTTAGAGAAATTATTTACTAACTTTGGTCTCCCCGAGCATATCGTTTCAGATAATGKCCCTCAGTTCGCCAGTAGCGAATTTGGAGACTTCTTGAAGAARCATGGCATCCGACATACGCTTACACCTCCCGGACATCCCGCGTCCAATGGCATGGCAGAACGTTATGTCAGATACTTCAAATCTGCTTTGTGTAAGATGGAGCAAGCAGAAGGTTCTTTACAAGAGAAGTTGAATTGTATCCTCTTTACGTATAGATGTACACCTCATCCTGCCACTGCTGAATGTCCTGCATATCTGCTTATGCACAGACAATTGAGAACGAAATTTTCAAGCCTTGTACCTTCCCTTTCAAGCCACAAGGAGGCTGATATATTTGAACAGAATACTAATTGCTTACCCAGATTCTCTGTAGGTGACAAAGTCTACGTACTGAACCTCCGTGCAGGTCCTCGTTGGCTACCCGGAATTGTGATTGAGGTTTTGCAACGGTCATATTTCRTGCATGTCGAAGGATRTCCAGTTTGGAAAAGGCACGAGCATCAACTTCGACCAAGGTCTCTTCAATGTAAGTCTGATGAAGATAGTACCATTTTTCAGCCAATTACTGTTCCTGACTACTTACCAGTACCAGCTCTCGAGGTACCACCGCTTCCACAGGAACCAATTGGAAGTCCTCAGAAGGAACCAATAACTACGCTGCCACAGACACTCACTGGAAGTCCTCAGAAGGAACAAAAGCAGCAACAGGTTCAACTCGAACAACCAACAGACAGTGCCCGCAATGGAAGTCCTAGAAAGGCAGATGATGCAACAGCAACCGAACAACCTTTGCAGCCAAGAAGAAACCCTGTTAGAGAGCGCAAGCCTCCAACTAGATTTGGGTTTGATTATTGAACTGATAACACTTAATATATTTGGAACTGATAATACTTAGAATTTGACATTGATTTTGAATTTAACCTTATAAATTGTTAGTATTTGTTATACCACCATTCCTTTTCAAGAGAGGGGAATTGCTATGTATCCACTAGGGAATACATACTTCCGTGTAATTAATTATTCTAGTATAAATGTTGTGTGAAATTGTGCAAGAGTCAGTTGGATGTAAACTCAGGAATAAATGCAAGGCTCTATGAATCCGCTCTGTTTTCTGGCTTGATACACTACACTTCTCCTTCTTGACAGTTTTGGATTTCTTGTCTACTGCCTCTTCTTTTTTTACTTTCTTTTTCACTTTGTTGTCTTTTTCTCCCTTCTTTGCTGATTTGTCAGCACTCTTTTTGGGTAACTTAGACTGCAAAAGATATCAGGTAACTGCTTCAGACCTCTTTTAATGAAACCTGACAATCACAGATCAGATACATCATGGGCATCTTGTGGTATATGAATATTGCCTGCTGACCAACTTCAATATGTGCTCAATTTAATTTACCATATTTACCCATGTATAAGCCACACTTTTTTTCCAAAAAAATCGTTCCCAAACCGGGGGTGCGGCTTATCTACGAGAAGACTACGATAAAAAAACTAATTTGCATAAATTAGCATTCACGGTTTTACTTACTGCAGACAGGACATCAATAATGTGATAAGTTTGTTTTACACGGCGGGAACAGGAATTTTAATCCAAACTTCTCAGTATTACTATAAATTCTCAGAAAATCTAGCTCTGAGAAACACAAGTCAATAAATCAAACAGAAAAGTGTGTGGTTATTGAGCTAAAATGAACAGAGAGCATTTTCAATCGTTTTGTCTTGGAGTTGTTTTGGTAACGTGATGCTAATTTGCATTGTTCATTTAAGCGACTTTGTCACACTTAAAGTGAAGAATCCAGGGTAAATATTTTGAATACCCAAGAAAAGAGCACAAGAAATTGTTCTTATATTAAACAAATACAATCTGCTTTAATATTTCTTTGAAATACGAAACGGGCCCATGATCCTTATGTTTAGAAGTTTGGCGGCACGATGAGATTTATATCACTCAAGTTAATTACTAGTTTGCTTTTACCCTTTGAATGAAAAACAACTCTTTAAATATAGTATCAATTATCAANAAACTCGTAGTCGTACTCAATCTCGTACTCGTTGTCAAATCTGAAGTTCCCTAATATATCAGTCATTTTAACCATGAAAACTATTTTTACACTTGAAAATAGTACAATAAAAAATGGTGATTTTAGGGAAGAACACAAATCAAAAGCAAATGGCTTCTGACACAATTTTTTATTACTACTTCTAATTAAAGTCAGATAGGTTGGGTTGACTTACACAACAAACAAATGGGAATACATTAGCTTATGACTAGGGACAAATTGTGTCTCTCTTGGAAAAGTCCATTGTGTTGTTTTCCAAATTCCCATAAACTGCACCACTTTGACACAATTATTGGTTAGGTAAGTGTAGATTTCATTAGACGTGCACAAAAAACCCCTGATATACAAATAATGTACAGTGTAGGCTTGTAGCTTTGCCCATTTGTGGTATTTGTTTGTTAGATGTGTTGATTTTTTAYCTGATTGCATGCTTGTGTATACAATTCATGTCCACAGTTTTCTTAATTTAGTGTTTGCGTTTTTTTTTTGATAAATATTATAATTATTACTTATTTTTTGCTTTTTCTTATCAACTCACCAGTGGTTCATCATCACTGTCATCACTACAAACACCAGGTTTCTTTACTGGAGACTTTTTATCTATCTTTTCTTTTTTCACAGAAGAACTATGACCAGAACTTGTGTTCTTTTGTGCCTTTGCTTCMGTTTTTAYTGCTTTTGGAGATCTGTAGACAAAAGCAACACAAACAAAATCTGAATTAAATAGTGTCAACATKTTGACAAACTAGACGCTCTTACAGCATGAAGTCAGGCTAACTATTTTTTTGAAAATTAAGAAAGACAGGATATTATTTGGGTGTACGTATAGGTGAACAAGTGCAAAAAGGTTGTAAACACAATAACATTATAACATTATAACATTATGTAGTGCTCGTACAAAACCAAGTTGTTGAGTCGTCGTTTTTAACAGTGTCGCGTTCGAGTTCGTTGAAATTTTTCCATAAATATTGATTTAAAAGCCATAAGATTTCATCGAAAGTGATATATATTATTAGAGTAGATTGATATATCTTTCGTATCTTTCTTTGAGGCGTTTTATTTTCTGTGCGAAATGACTATCCATCGATATGAGAATTGTGCGAACGGTCCGAAACTTCGGGCGAAACGACTTGTGCGAACGGTCTCTTGTGCGAAATAACCTGATACCCTGTCTATCATATGACTGTACATGAATGTCAATTATATAGTAGAGTATTTTTTTTACTTCCAACACATAGTTAAAGCAAGGATGTGTTACTTTCAATGTTATTTTATTAACTAATTAATGTACTGTTCAAAATTCTAATTGTTTATTCACACGCTACCATATTCTTTTCTGACCGCTTGCTGCAACGATGTCAAAATGCTACAAATATTGAGCCAGGGCAAAATAACCTGTCTTTCTGCAAAATACCTCGATTTCATGCTCTAAGAGTGTCTCATTCAAAATGTGCAAAATTTTGTAAGATTTTTAAAAATAAATTTGACCTAAAAGGTCATGTTGTACAACACACTGTGACATGTCATGGTAAATTCAATTTAATTAATTTGACTGTTAAATTAAATCGTTGCTTTGACTGATACATCAAACACAGTAGACTAAATGTCGCTAAGTGATATCAAATATGTTTTTAATGTAAGTTGATCACTCAGACCGAGAAAATATTAAATACTTTACAAAACAAAAGATGTCTATAAAATAATTAAAGTTGCCTTTTTGTTATTGATAAACAAAGCTTCTTCTTGTTCTAATTTGAAATCTTTGCCCACACTGTCAAAAGCTAGAAAGCTCATTTATTCAGTTTCATGAGCATGATACTCGAAGCTCCATGCGATCCRCACATGCCATGCTTCTGATGGCTAGACTGATACATTCCGATGAGATCACAGATACCACATCTGTGAACGAATAGTTTTTTTTTTTTTTTTTGATGTTCGTACAACACAGTCAACCCAATAGTTGATCATTAGTACTTCCGGTTTCGACGTCTTGAATTCTTAACTTCCAGGGGTCCAAACGTGACATAATTAATACATTGATAGATAGTTTATCAAAGAGGTAAATTTCAACTCGGCCTAGCTTATGGCTAGTAGCCTGACTAAAAATGCAAAATAAAGCAATGAAACTTATCTGACTTACTTTTGATTGAATCGCTTGGCCTAAAATTTGACAAATAGTACAAATATTGAGGTTAGCTATGATTTTAAAACAGTCACAAAACCTACCATGGTTCAAAATATAGCTGTSTTTTCTAAATAATTTAATTAGTAAAGTTCCAGATATTAAGGWATCTGGGGATAGTTGTTTTAGTACCGACCATGACGAAAGAAACACATCGCAATGCAGTTTATGTTGCTTTGATCCGGTCAATATTTTGTCAAATGAAGGATAAAAGACCAAAATATATTGAATGTAATTTATTCAAGTTATGGTGAAATCCTGGAAAACACTTAAACTTGAATGTCTCGCAAAACCAGCCCTATTTTCTCTAAAATATTTGTATCTGTCAGATGGGCAGACAAGCACTAAAATTACACTTTAAGTAATATGCCTCTGCCTCATCAACGAATTGAYGAACAGCGCCCGAACTAAACATGAATGTAGCTTTAGGAATAGAGTCCACTAGTGCAGAAATTGTATTATCTACATGCAATATAGAAATTGACAGTTCTTTTGCGTATATGACATCATATTTTAAGTTACGCTCGACATAATTTGTCTAAAATTTTCACACACATTTGTAATACCTCTAGTAACAAGGTTCAGAAATATTTTAGAGAAAATAGGGCTAGTTTGCGAAATATTCAAGTTCAAGTGTTTTCCAAGATTACTCCATAACTTGAATAAATCACATTCGATTTTCATGAAATCTAAATATGCCATATTTTGCTCTTTTATCCTTCATTTGACGAAATATTGACCATATCAAAGCAAAATAATGCATTTCGATGCATTTCTTTCGTCATGGTCGGATACTAAAAACAACTCTCCCCAGACACCTTTTAAAAACACTTGCACTCTTTTAAAAACACTTGCACTCTGAAGGCTGTGCTTAACAAACAAATAGTATAAAAACATGACTTTACAGATTTATCTTACCAAAGGAATATCATCATCATCATCACTCTCTGTTTGGGAAGATTTAGGTTTGATCTTTTCCTGTAAATATGTACAGAAAATAAAGCATATTTCCAGATGAGAAATACAAAAATATTCTTTACTAATTAAGCCTTACAGTATACACCTAACTGAAAAAGGGTTTTCGGGTTACAAAATACATGTAGGAGATATCATCCATGAATCTAACATTCATATTTTACCTAAAAATCTCACGTTAAAGCATTTCTCATAATTGGATAGGTTATTTTGTTCACTGCAGGCATTCTTTTTTGCACTGAAACATTTTTACACTAACTTATATTTACTTTCCCCTGTTCCCTTTCAGTCTTAGCTTAAATGATGAAGCCATTTAACTGCATGGATTTGAGAACTATCTCACTTAAAAATATGATTGGTTCAATATGATTTTGAAGCAGTTCAATTTCTTCTGAACTGGTTCAGTTTATTTTTGAGCCAGTCCAATATAACTCAATCCAGTACAAATCAGTTTAGGGTTAGGGTTAGGGTTAGGTTTAGGTTTAGGGTTAGGTTTAGGGTTAGGTTTAGGGTTAGGTTTAGGGTTGGGAATATGGTTGAGCCAGCATTATATAAAAATTTTCTTCATTAATAAATTACAATTAAGATAAAAACAATTTGCAAACATTACTACCAACAAAATCCTTGATGGTATATTTGGTAGTACTGTGGACTATGAAGCAAGAGTTCAGTGGTTCAAACCCTGATGAAGTCTTGTACTGGAACAAATTAGATTAAACTGGTTCAAAAATATATTGAAACTTAACTACAACATATATAACAAACACTTATAGATAAGATGCACCCTGACTTACAAACTATTACAAGGAAAAAATGTACATTTATAAACACTTCTTGATTTTTGCTCTTGATTTTTAGTACTAGAAGCAAAGGCAACTCTCTTAAAACATTGACTAGTGTTGAATTGTTTTTAGAAAGGAACGTGTTTATCTATTGTTTAGTGAAAGTAGACATTACAGACATTATTGTATGCTATACACTAGCCTTTCTGACATGTTGTGTGTAMGCACGTGAGGATATGTGTGAACATTTAAAAAGAGCCTTTTTGCAAGAGCCTTTTCAGCGATATTCCTGCTTGTTCCACAATCTTCATCTTGAATCCCTGTTTCTTCATGAGTCAGTCATTTTTGTACCAGCCACACCTATATCTGAACTGAATGGAGGATGAAGTGAAGAAACAGGGATTCAAGATAMAGMTTGTGGAACAAGCAGGAATATTGAATTTTTTTTCTGTGTACTCAACAACCTACAATAAATGTTGTGATATATTTCAAGGTGCCGTCATCAATCAGTTATCAGTCATGATCAGTAATCAGTCGTCTACATCTCAACTACTGCTTTTTGGCACTTCGTTTTCAAGAGCAGGCCTACATTCCAGCACGTCAATGTTTTATATAGCATATAGCATGAATATGCTTCGCTATTATCAATTATCGAAAGAATTATGTCTTGATATTTTAAGAACCGCGTTAGCCGGATTTTTTTAAAGATACTTTCTATGAGTTTTGAAAAGTATGAATGGATTTTCGCGTGTTTACGTGATGTGCAGTACGTAATAGTAATGTCTTGGATAGATTGCCTGCCAAAACTACGATGTACAGCAAAACATTAGACGACGTCCAGGAGTAGCAGCGAAGAAAACGAAGGTAATGTGACAAGCGATTGAATTATGATCGATTGTCGTGTGTTTATGATATGCAGTTCTCTTGGAGCGTTTCCCGCCGAGGTTTTGGCCTGTGACTTACAGTAAAGCATTAAAACCGCCGAAACGAAGAAAACGAAGACCACAAAGGTTAATTGTCAAACGATTAAACACAAAGAACTTAAAAATAAACATCATGGATTTATAAAGACAAACAGAATATCGGACGTAAATACATCGCGCCAAAATACTAATGTAACGTAAACTTGCGACCAAGATATTTGGTTTACTGAATTTTTCCCCTTGTGATTAGGGATTTTGACTCACGATCCCAAATCAAAAGGGGTTATCAGCTATTTCCCCTAGTGGTTAGGGTTCTTGACACCCATGGATGTCAGAACCCTAATGATTAGGGGAAGCTATTGGTAATCCCTAATGGTAAGGTCAAATAGCCGAACAGGCCTAATAGTTAGGTCAAATATTGAGAGGGCGGATTTAGATTTCGTGGTCGGAATTAAATCGCGTAGTGTTTTTCAAGGCTATCAATATCTGAACTAAAAACAACTCTTCATACCCCTTGGAAAGGAAAAATCAAATTAAAGACTTAATAGGTGTTACAATGCCCTGAATTGGAAATGTCATACCGTGTTTATACAGTCCTTTCACTAAACAATGTCATTTGATCATCTTACAGCATTAGGCAACTACAATCTTTGACATATATACTTGACAATTTTTTGCTTGGGCATCACAAATACTGTATCGTGTCCATCAACTGAAAATTAATATTCCCCTTCCCTCTCCTCCCTCCCGCATTAATGTTGCATGAAGGTTTTATCGGCGAATAGTGTGAGAAATGTCACGTGTGCATAAAAATTGTCCACATTTATATCCAAGATTGTAGACCAAAAAGGATGCCGCATAAATTATGAAGCACGTCTTTGTCTGCTCGCCGTTCTTGCATTTAATTTGTTAAGCTATGCCTCAGAAATATGGTAAAGATTTAGTCTGTGCTAATAAACAGGCAAACAAAACAATAAATAAGCTTTTAAACAACTATCAAGGCTACAATCTGGCTTCCAGTAGACAAGTTCACTGATAGATAAGAGTAAGCCTTAATTAGAATGTTGCAGCATTCATGTGCATATTTGCACTTGCCTGCATTAAAATTTGATTTACTTCAGTAATCAAACTACTCATAGCTGTTAATAATTCTAGAAAACTTATTAGTTATTTTAGCCCTCTATTTCTTTACAACAAATTTACATATTTTTAATACTTATATTTATTTTTTCGCTACAAGCACTTTATTTAAAACCGTTTCTATTGTTTATGACTTAAAAAATCTTTATTGTCTTTAGAATAAAGATTAACGCAAGTATCTTTATTCTAAATACATTCTCTAAATCGTTATTACATGTAGTTTATTTTCTTTGTTAACTAAAAAGCAAATGGGATGATTGAGCAATAAAACAGTTTTCAGTTTCTATCATTATGATAATTTATCATCATACTTACAGGAGATTTGAGTTCTTGCTTGATGCTTACATTCTTACTAGGGGAAAGAGGAGATACTTTCTTGGAATGGTTCTTAGTAGGTGACAAGGCTTCCTTTTTAATAACTAACTTCACCGGAGGTTTTTCTCTAGATCCATCTTTGGATGCCATCTTAGGGCTATTTAACGGACTTCTGCATRTTTAAAAAACAAAACACTTAGTAAGGTTTTCATACAATAGAACTCTTAAATTAGACTGAAGGAGATTTTTTGAGCTGCTAGGAGTTTTATTCAGAAGGAATATTAAGATCTTTCACAAAGCAAGAGGATTATTTGAAAACATGAAGTGTTTCAAAAAGCATTTTACAAACATATAGCAAATTGCATTTTTTTTTTTAGAAAACAGAATGATGTTCATGTATAGGACAAGTATAAAATAGACATTGCTGTATGAAAGGGGTTCTGACAAAAATTAGAGAGTATAAATTCTGTATGCTGTTTTCCTATTAAAAAGGAAGGAATTCCTATATTTTATAATGCGCACAATCATATAATATGTACTTTAAATTTTAACTACAACAACTATATTGTCAATAGCCATGGTAATTACGAATGTACAAAACAGAGTTGACAATGATAAAATTAATATAAGTTTAACTTCAATAATTTGAGGTCCCATATGAAATAGCAAATGAATGTGCTAATGATCTGAAGTGACATCATATAAGACAAGGTACTTAGCAAATAATTAGCAATTCTTTAATACACTGTAACTAAACTAGACTTGCCATCAACATCAAYGATCACTCCTAACCTTTTGACAAGAGGAGGAACAGGAAATTATATTTATAAATAACTGCCTCTCTCAACTCAACCCACAAGGTCATTATCAATTCTCACACGTATAAAGCTGTTCATGAAGACCAGAAAAGTGGGGCACAATAGTCCACCTTATCATTAGTATAGCCAAAACACATTACGCTAAGATCCTTACCAAGGGTGCCATGATGTCGGATTATTAAAAGGTGACTATTATTAAAGGGGACTATTGTTTCAGAAAAAAAAAAAGAAAATTGGCTGGAACTGGAAATAAGGAAACATGGCAATTAGAACATCATCAATATTCACACATTACACTGTATATCTCATTTTTCAGCATAACCACAGGGATTGCTTCAAGCCATAAATCAGATGCCAAGAGACCCAAACAATGAAGAACTGACATTGGTGTGAGGCCARGTTACAGTGTACAATGGACAGACAGTTCAGAGTGATCCACAACTGAATGGGAACAGCACACGAATAAAATATTAGAGGTCCTTCTACAATTAATTYATTCTTACTGTAGTTGACTTTTAAGACTAGAGTGGGCTGGGTTAACAATGATAATGCCATTATAGTACATGTRTGTTTCATAGCTGGTCACACTCCCACACATCAAAAATTAAACATCAATTTTAAACAGCCGTTTAATTAACTCAATGTTGTAGTTCATTGGAAAATTTTAAAACATGTTTTTATTTTTAATGTATTACAAAAGTAGCAGTTTTATGGCAGAAAGAAAGAATTCAAAGAAAGCTGATTTCCAGCCAATTTTGATGGCACCTCGAAAAACCAAAACCAAGGAAATTCTTCTAGCATATTTTGAGATACAGTAAATGATAAAACAAGTACAAGAGGGTAATGTCCGCCACAAAAACTGCTTTTAATCTCATTTGCAACTCAACAATTACTCTCAGAATGATCTCATTACTGCTGCTCTTTTAGATTAACATGTAAACAAATATTTCAAAAGAAAAGTGACAAAAAATTAATTAAGTAGATATGCTGTTGCAGACATTATCGTTGCAGACATTACCATTTCAACTTTTGCCATTTTCATTTTGTGAAATGTTGCTATTTTTGTCCGCAACAGCCACTATTAATAAAATATCTAAGGAGGGAAAGGAGGTATCTGGTGGTTTTCACATACATAGTGTGAGGGGCCTCTTGAGCTTAATTATAGCAAAGTTTGATCCACCTAGCTTGCTACAGTTAGAAGTTGTGAACAGTTTTGTAGCCACATTTTGCCTCTGAAGGTAATGTCCGGACGCAACATGGAATTGACMCAAAATAGAGGTTTAAGTTAAATAAATCCGAAGGACATCATCTATGGAGAGCTGGCCTCAGTAGGGAGTCCAGCACTGCATTTTAAAAATGTCTGCATATATACAACATGAGACTTATTGAAATCCAGATAGCTGGGAATCACTAACCAGAAGACAGCAGTTGCTGCTGTCACACCATTTATGAAGACCTCAAAAGGAATGAGGAAAAGCTTAACCAACAATCAGAGCAAAAAGATCAGCGCTGAAAGAAGAGACATCAATCTGCAGCCTTATCCTCTGATTTTAATTGCGACCCGTGCGGTAAAGACTGTCATGCAAGGATTGGTGTATATGTACTTTAGTAATTTAAGACACTGTTCCACACAGACTGACTGACTTAATTGTAGTGCTACCATTATCATACGAGATAGAAAGATGCCTACTACAACTAAATATTATTATAATTTTCGATTGAATATTATTCTTATTCATTTCTTAGGGGATAACCGGATTTCCAAGGGGAGTAAAACACAATTTCTAAGGAGAGGGGGGAATACCCAATTTTGGAATTTCCTAAGGACAGAGGGGGTCGAATATCGATGCCGCCCGGAACTACACAAAATTTGAAATAAGGGAACATAAATATAATTTTCGCGAAATAACATTGTTGTAATCAATACATGTAATTGCAACTATTTTTGTCTTGAGAAATGAAAGAGTAGCTGCCTTTACAGAATCTTCATGTTAGATAAGGGAAAATGTAAAACAAAAATAGAATGGCAACATATAAATAATTCCAACCTTACTGGACTCTTGATCTGTAAATAGCACCAGTTGTGTACATAAAGAAGAAACAGCAAAATTGGTCATACATTAAAATAAAGTACAAAAAGTTTAATTAATCAACATACAGTCAATCCATTAAGGTCGTTCAGTTATAAAGACAACAACAAATTCATTTGCATAAAAAAATGTTTTTAATATCTGCAGGAAGAATCGTAATTCTGAACTTTACATAAATAGCGAATTAAATGTTATTGATATTGTAGACCTATTATTGTTGAATGTTTCTGCAAAGAATTTATTTCTGGAAAAAAAAACATTCTGCAAATGGGGTTGTTGTTGTCTTTATGTCTTTCAACTGAACAACCTTTATGGGATTGGGTGTAAATTTACCACACTGTTCTTATCAACTTTAAACTTCTTTCTCTCAGGACCTAAGGCAAAGATCAAAGATGTTACATTTTATAGCATGTTCAATTAATTTCTTAATTTACAGAAACTCTATACGACCACAGGTATTCAACCTTGTGAGCAATCACTTAACAGCTGGGTATACAAAATTATATCTTTAATTATATCCATTTTGAAATCACAATGGAATCCTCCAATCTGATTGGTTCTTAGCAGGTTGATTTCAGCCTAAATCACACCATTTTTAATATTAATCGAACTCCTTTGAGGAGCCAATCACAATGCAAAACAAATAAAAGGTAACCAATCACATTACAGGATTGTGTGGTTAACCAATCAAACTATGGCAAAAAGGACACAAAATATTTTTTTTTTGGTTTTACAGCTAATTTTGAATGAAAATGTGCAAATTGGATTATTTCAGTTCTTACTTATAGGTTTAGATGACAATGTACTATCTCAGTGCAATTTTTCATTATTTGATACTTCTAAACTCTGACTTAAGTGTATTTTACAGTCCAAAAATGTCAGAAATGTTTACCAAGGGATGCAAGCTACCAAAGTTCATGTACTGTAGCTCAGTTCGCAACTGCAACACAACAATTCATCCTGTCTAAAGAATGAAGATTTCCAGTGCTTACATGTATAAATTATGCAGACATCCTTACGCTTCAGGTCACTAAAAAGAGCAAAGACGGCAACAAAACTTTGGAAAATATTGATAAATATTCTCGTTCAAGAGCCGCCATCTTGATTGTCAAGCACGTAAAACTTTGACAACATTTTATGCCAGTTCTACATGTATGCTAGAGTAAGAATTCAAAAAGTCAACAACTACATGTAGCAACCAGAATCAGTAAGGAAGATACCAAGTTCCTTTGACTGCTCTTTGAAGGAGAAGGGCAACAACGTAAGGATTTTGAAGGCAAGTAAATTCTCAAAATCACATGGCTTTTTTTGTCTTTCTCACTAATDACAATTTTATACAAATTTGTCAATAAACATGTTAAAATATCCATCTCAGAGATCCTACAACAATTCTTAGATCTTCTTCGCGACAGACGAAACAGAGGGCCTCCATAATTTAATCTTATGAGCAGTCAAACTGAAACCAAACTTGAAAACAAACTGCTCGTTTGAAATTTGTCAAGTTCATAGTTTTACTCGAAGTGAAGTGACATGACCTGTCAGTTTATGAATTGTAAATGAGATGTAAAAGACTTTCCGGTTCCAGTTTAAACAAAGTCAGTTATTTGTTTAATAAGCACTGTCTTTTTTATTAGGATTTCAAAATGGATATAAATAAGTGGTAATTGAACTTCGTGTCGTRCAATTTTGGTCTGAAATCAAACTTGCGATTTTGTAATCGCGCGTTCGATTTCAGACCAAATTGCACTCCACTCAGTTCAATTACCATTATATACCAAGTTATTAAAATTCTTTAATGATACCACTTATACATTCGCCCAAGTGGTTGCAAGCCTGATTTAAGTACTGTATTTCATAATTTCTTAAGATATCATCATTTAATGAAGAAACATTCAGAAGGATTGACGGAGCGAGCTTTAAATTAATTATCAATGATGGAAATTGGTTGCTTAAAATGGTATCACCTAAGGACATCTAGTAATCTGAGTGGTAGATTGGTGTACTGGTATCCCATCTCGTCGGCGCGGTCGAGTTAAGAGAGGGAAGAATGGGAAAATATTAGCTAATACCAGTGCGTACAAACAGTACTTCAGTGACAACGAAATGTTTTTTGACAAATCGCATCATCGATTTAAAATGGATAAAATGCAAAAACACTAAACATGCAGTGAAGCCGGACGCAGTGAAACCAAGATTGAAAGAGTGTCATGTCAATTATAAGCTTAACAAAGTTTAGATAACATCATAACAATTGATATACATCAATGTCTTCTTCACTACAGATCCGGGTTTCATCGAGTGTACTTCCATTTTGAGAGGAAATCGGGGACTTCATTAGAGATATGTTTGGTGCGGTAAGGCAAAATTCCGTGACAAAAGACCGGATTGGTAGAGCACCGAAACAACAATGGACATAAGTTACATACCTGGTGATGTGACTTGCCTCTCGCCCTGACATGAAAATGAATCAAAATTACACATTTATTTAGTGAGGAGAAGTCTCGATTTAAGAGAAAATGAATATCTCTATAAATGTATGTAAGCGATTTTCTAAAGTAAAGGGTTTAAAAGTGTGTACGCACCATAAGCCGGTTAACTTCGCCATGAGAAGGCCTTCCATTCTCGGCTTTTCTCTTCAACTGCAAGCACAGACGATGTGTTCAACAGATCGAAATATTACGAAAATGTGGCTGAAACCCACCCCAAAAGCACCATAAGATTCATATCTTCAAATCTTATTTTATAAGTTTTTTACCTCGTCATCGGCGTTTAGAGATAGGCTTGATTCACCGTTCATAATTCTTGAAAACTGAAGCAAAATTTTTCTAAGTGCCGACTTGGTTCAAAGCGAAGGTAAAGGACAAAGGAATTAAAATTAGAAGTCCCGACTTTGAACGACTACGCATGCGTGTCCTACCGCGTGACATCCTTACTTTGTGACACAGGCAGCCCAACCATTGATTGGTTGGTTATTTCAAAGTARTTGTTTTCTATAYTTTCGTTGTATCTTATGTTTAATATTACTATTTATTATTATTATATTGAATGGAAATTATAAATCTTCGAAAACAGAACAAAAAACGCAATTATTTCCTCTTTCATTTGACTCATGAGGTCATAGGCCGCCAACTTGGCTAGTGTCGCTTGAGAGAAATAAAACGAAACAAGTTAGTCGTTTGCATTATGTCGGGTTTCTTTGTCTCTGTGTATTTGAAATTCACTCAAGTTGAATACAAAGGTCATTGAATACTTCGTAGTAAACTGAAGCAACTCCAGACCTAAATATCCCTCATCTAGCCCGACTAATCACTCTACAGCCCCCCCCAAAAAAAAAAAAAATTTTCCGACATTATGAATTTTCTTAAATAAAGAAGTAAAGAGCCTCCCCATGAAATTTCGCCATATATATTCTATAAAGACTGTGTAAAAACTTAGCGTAAATCATTAAAATTGAAGCTTTTTTGCGAAGTCTTTGGGATTTTATTGAAAATCGTGTCACCGTGTGTGCGGTCAGAAATATGTCTTAATATGTCTTGGATAACGCCTCAAAACGCTGGAAATGACATTTCCCAGAGTTTAAGATTCCAAAAATTTCCGGGGTGGATACCCCCGAACCCCCCAGTACCCACTGTCTTCGACAGTCGCTAGCCCCCCAAACAAATTCCCGCTCCGCGGTCCCTGAATCTTTGGTAATCCGACACAAAGAAATATCAAATAAATGCAAATCTCTGGAGCGATTTTCAGAACTTTTACACGGAACACGGAACTTCGTGGAACATACCGTGTCCAGGCTACGCTAATAATAAATACTTTTACCAGCGCCGCGATCGATTTGAAAGATTTTGCGCATGACCTAGCTTTTCACAATTTTTTTGAATATCTTTAGCATTGCAGCTAAAATTTAGCATTTAGATTGCATTCGAATTATCCTCAAAGAATTTTTAAGATGAAAGTTTGCTTTGCCTAAAATGATTTTAGAAAAAGAACGAGTATATATTTTAAAGTTAAAGAAAGAAAGAAGAAAGAAAAAATGTTTAGAAGTGCTCGAGTCGAGAATCGAACCCGAGATCGTCAGTTCAACGCCGCTATGATCTTGCGTGTAAAATATGTAAACAAATATCTACAGGAAAATAAGAGTAAATTGGATAGTACGCGCGCTCTGATTGGCTGAAAACTAAAACTCCGTGAAATCGCGTATCCAGAACGCGGGTCCGTCCTTTTTCCGTATCCGGACCGGAAATTGCTAATTTGATGATGGTCGTGCAGTAAGTTGGATCGAGGGAATCAAGACAACTTTGTTTATCAGATTTGAGACTTTCTTTGCAATAAAAAAATTCAAACAAAATCCATTTTTTTAATGATCTGAAAGAAAGATGATTCAATTTTAACTACTCCCGCCTTTTTGTCCGCGCTGGCGTCTTAGCACTTAACATTCCCGCTCTTTTCCGAGTTGACCGTACAGTGTGTACAGTACGTTGTTTTCAATGCCAACGGCATCAATCCAGCTTAGAAATGCTCAATAAGTATTCACCACAATTTAAAGATAGTCCAAAAAGGATCGTATTCGAAGAAAAACTCAATGAAGTTGTAAAAGCTCAAAAGAAGCCAGAACATATAAGTTAAAGTCCACAAACTAATCAAAACAAAAGTGAAAAGCCGAAGGGATTCAAACCGGTGTCTTGGCAAGAATGAAATCCTCCTCTTATAAAGACAACTTTCCTCGATTCAATATGACTCCTCGGTTGCTGGAAAACAAAGAAAATTGTAATTCTATATTGAGAGACATCCACTTCGAAAAAGTAAACAAATCTACACCGGCGGCCGCGACGATAGAAGAATCAGTGAAAATTTGTGAGTAAAATAAGGAGCCAAAATCCCCCGGGTGAGGCTACCTAAACGCCGAGTTAGGATCTCGAGTTGGATCTCGAGTTGGATCTCGAGTTGGATTTCGAGTTGGATCTCGAGTTGGATCTCGAGTTGGATTTTTAGCAGGATTCTGAGTTTTCTATAAAACAAAATTGAGCGAAATTAAGTATTACACTCGTATAAACAAACAATGTATACGACAGAAGAGAATTTTATGACCCTCAACTATCTGACTTACTATACGTCCAACAGTAAACTTAGGACAAAAAAAAGCGAAAAATCTTATTAATAACACATATCGACAACTGCTACGGTGCTGACTGTATTACGACATGTCCTCTTAATTGAACTGGGCACGGTAAGTTCCACGTAGTGGTCGAAGAATAAGAATACAAAAAGGAAGTGCATAGTTACGAGCTCGTTTTCGATAATTAATTTTGAATGAGACCATGTTGTGACGTTTTCTAACAAACAATTGCATGGCGAAAAATTCTTTTTTCTCAATGACTCTCATGACTCAATAATTATTGAAGATATACTGATTTTAACAAAGATCCAACATTGAAATCCTGTTGAAATCCAACTCGAAATCCAACTCGAAATTCAACTCGAGATCCAACTCGGAGAAGTTGTTTATAGTTGTTTCATAGATTCAGTATTATTATTACGGATTACTCACCAATTTTCACTGATTAGAAATAGGTATTCATGGAAAGTTTTAAAGCCATGGACTTAATACTAACAAAGTTATCGAGGAATATATAAAAATACAGGGATTTGTATGGAATTCTTTGCTAGTGACTGCGTAGCCTCGTTTTGGTGTTTTCGTATCTCTTCTAACCCTTATAACTTCAAGAGGATTTGATATTTTTCTGTGAAACTTTCAGAGTTTCTCTTTGGCTTTGATATCTACCATTTGAGTGTTTTCATTTGTCAACATTATTAATAGAGCGATAATATGCTAATTAGTGTCAGAATCGTGAATATACCGAGTGACGGTAATGCATTTATTGCTACCTCGTTCCTGTAGTGTTTTGTACACCAGAGATCAAACAACAGAAACCAGAGAGAAAAGATCAAGGCTGACACGACGCCATTTGCAGTTTCGGAAGCGTGCTCTTATTCTAGAAACGAGGCTACCACAGGTAACCCAAACCAAGGATGACTATAATATAGCTACATTACATCCCCCTTTCTATTTTACAAAACATAATGTTAACATGTTCAAACAAACAAGCTACTTTCTTGTAATACACAATCAATACAAAAAAAGTGTTAATGTCTCTAATTGGGCTTTTCCTTTTTCTTTTTCTGTTATTCTGAATATCGCTTAGGAGGTCTCACCACCCTGCCGCTTCGTGTAGTTGTTAAGTTCTCAGTGTTTGTAGGTGACTGATTTTCTTGTGTATCCTTGCATGTAGATGGTTCTGGTGAACTTAATACATCAGTGGTAGATTCGGGAAGCTTTTCTTCCAAAGACTCTTGAGCGTTCTCNTCACAGTGTTCAAGTACTTGATTGATGTGAAAGGAGTTAAACTCCATCAGTAAATTAGGGCAAGTCACCATCTTATCCATGTCAGCCTTTTCCAGCAATTCTTTCTGAAACTGATGCAGCTCCTTCGCCAATGCCTTCTTTTGATGCTGAGTGACAGCTCTTGAAAATTTGTTGTCAGGTGATGTGTTGAATTGTGGACCCAGCTTATTATCAGTCGATGGACTCCAAAGATTCCCACAATCATCACCTTTACAGCTACATTTCTGAGCACAGAATCCACAACATTTGTGCAGCAAATGTAAACATGACACTTTACTATCAAAGTGGGACATGAGCCAAACACGAGCACATCCTTCATGCTGGACATAGTTTTTCATATCCTTATCACTGAGTGATGACAGTAATCCATTGAAGAGTAAAATGCAGCAGCTTGGAAGACCATCACGTCCTGCACGACCACATTCCTGAATGTACTGTTCAACAGTCTTGGAGTATGAGAATAAATACATGACTTGTGAACTTTGATGCAGTTTTATAGTTTGTATGCCGTTACCAGGTGACAAACAAAGAGATTCCAGCCAGTCTTGAGTATTGAGTGCTAAAAAATCCTTTAAGTTATAGACATAACTTAGGACCAACAATAACTAATGGACATTAACTTTTGTTTATATTGTGGCTCTAAAAAGAGCCGTTTATTTTGATTGACTATACACGGCTACTAGGAATCCTTGATGTTGTCAAGTCTTCTAAGCTCCTTTAAGTATGTTTTCTTGAATTCATCAAGTTTTTCGGCTATTTTAAAAAATGCCTCTTTCTCTCTATAAGTTAGAGTTTTTATATAGTGAAACAGATCTTTCAAACTGACGGTCGAAGTCCTGTATTTCTTCAGTGATATATAGCCGGTATTCGCGTATGCAGTCATTCAAATTGGAGCTGCCCATAATGTAATGACAATGCAAGAAAATGCTACCAGAACTGCACTTGTCTTTTAAATTATGTCATGCATTTTAATTATGCAAATGTATTCTATTCTCAAGATACAATCCGGTTCGTTCGTACTGGTATCATGTGATATTTCTTAGTAACATTTTTGTACTACTGCTATTACTAACTATAATATTATTATACATTATTACATATATTATTATTCTATCTCGCTCATTCCCTGATGATGCTGTAGACAGCGAAAGCTCAGAATCATATTTTTGTTGTAAACTCGATCTACACACTTAGCGGCTTCGGCTACATTTTGTATTTTCCACATCAATATTATTATACACTTTTAATCTTATGCGTTAGACTATCTTAGAAAAAAAACTCGTTTTTCTAAAAACTATAGCTATAAACTAACTAACTGTAATGGAGAGAACCTGGTCCTTTGCTTTGAAAAAAAGTTATAATTATGACTAAGCGGGGGAGGGGTCAGTATGGTTTGAAATGTCCAAACCTGATCGTATCAACTCATCAAGGCTCGACCTTCCTTCATGTATACAACACAGGGTTCCCAAAGGGTT